GCTGCTGTGGGTAGAAAACAAAATCTTCTCTTCTTAAAAGCTGTATTCAAAATCTGGATTCCAAAACGAATGAAAATATGACCTATGCTGGGTAAAAAGTGTCAGCCATGTAAAAATAGCGTATTTCTTTTCATGTGGACAACACTAACATTCAGTCAGATTTATATCCAGAAATTCATGAGATCTCTATAAAGCAAAATAAAGCTACTACTTGGTTATTCCCTCCTGGATGAGCCCCTTTGCCGTATTGATCCTAACAGCGCTAAAAGGAAGATGCTGTTGTGGAGTGCAGAGGGTGAGGAAGAAGCCTTCTTGGCCCACCTTTCCTTTCTGGGTCCTGTGGCAGCCAAGAGCTGGTTTGTCTCTTACTCCTCGCAGCAAGCAGAAGAGCATGTTTAACATGGTTAATGTTTAATAAGGACAAGCATAAGGAATGCTTAACAGTGAAAAGCCTGACTAGACTTGAATGAAAATTTCTCCTCATTTGTACAGGGAGCAGGATTTCTGCATGACTTGGTTTTGTTGTCACAGGAAATGATAGAGCTCGGTGCGTATTATCTATGATCTTCACCAAACTAAACCTGAAATAATGTTTCACTGAATCATGCCAATATTTGTAATAATTGAGATCATATGTTTAGCTGACTGACAGCAGGATTTCTTGCTCTATCTCTCCATGAGTGTACATTCCAGGAGTCTTTTTGCATTAGCTTGCTGTCATATTATTATGATTCAGGTAGGATGTTCCAAGGAATAAGAATAAGCTGAGCAAAAGCCATGTAGCTCAGATTCCTCTGTAGGTAATGGAGAGAAAGAGTTGTCAGACAATGAGACAGGTCTTGCATGCGGTGAATTACCACCTAGAGAAGCCCAGGTATCCCCACTGACTGCATAGGAGTCAGAGCAATCCTGTGGTCAACTGAGGAAAGCGAACCAGCGTATGCTAGAGGATGCAAGTCAGGAAGAAAAGACACAGGAAGACATCAGCCAGTCTTATCCTTGGCCATTATCCACATTCTGCATGCCTTCCACTGCTTTGCTCAGTCAGCTGTAAATTACTCATATGATGTGGCTTTAACCCCTCTTCCTTGGCTGATGCTCAGAAGCTCTGGGGACCTTTCTGGAGTCCTTACAGTAATATTTCCACAGCATGAAAACTGCATGCAAATCCCCCCATACCTCTTAGAGCCTAATGTGAGACTGTGCTCGGTAAACAGACGCCCTGGAAGGGGTCATGTGAAATACTGTGTTGACAGCTGCCCAAGAATAAGACAGAAATCTCATATCTTGCCACTAAACACATTTTATGCATGTCTAGGCCAAAAAGATAAAAGCCTCACCCTTCAGAGTAATGGAGATACAGAGAATGCCTGGAGCCCCACACTCTTCCTTCAATTGTGAGAGTTGGTTTTTTTTGCTTCAAATCACTTGTGTGGCTATACTGAATTTTAGATGGGTGATGAAAATTTAATCTGTATTAAACGTCTCTAACCTGGCAGGTAAATTAATGCATTTTTAACACAATCTCATGTATTTCCTTAATGTGCATGCTTCATAATAGAAGCATTTCATTTTTTTCTAGGTTTTGTTATCCAACCTTGTATAAAAACATTCTGTTGTGCTGCACCAGTCACATTTTATCAGGAAATATAACGTGATCTGACCTAGTGGCATTTCAGCGGATAATATGACAAAAATTGTTTCTTTTTAGGAAAAAGAAAATATAACCAAAACAAACACAAGAATGAGCATTACAGAAATGGTGATGTGCTGAGAAAAAAGCCCCACAGATAAAAAGTGCTAAAGGTCAGGATCTGTTACTCAAGTCTTGTTAGCAAGTAAAAATACCATGCTAACACGTGGCTGCCAGAAACTGAAGCGAGCCAGATAGACTTCTGACAAATAATTTTGACAGTTCTCATAAGCTGAAAAGTGCCTTTCTTTGCCTCTCTTGTCTTTTGAAATGTTTCCTTCCTGCTTACAGGATGTGCAGTGAGAGTTAACAGAGATGTTAAAACAACAGGGTGTTGATAAAAATAACCTGTACCAAGTGCTGCCTTTTGTGTGCTCTCTGGGGAGTGCACTAACTGTCAGTAACTTGCTAACTAACCTTCCTGAGTTTGCAACATGCAGCATGATTTGCTTCTTTTTTAAAAACATTTTTCTTCATCCATTATTAAGCAAATTAAGAAATGTTCCCTGTTGTTTTAATGTCTTGGGCAGAATTTCACTGTAGTTTAAGGAGGCTTTCATGAAGGTAAGCAGAATGAAGAGCCAAAAATGTATTTTTTTGGTAAAAAGCAAAAACAATCCCAAACCAAAAACAATCCCAAACCAAATAAAAAAAACCCTTGTCTTGGTTTTGGCAGAGATGTGGATGCAAAGTTTCTTGTTTCTATATAGAATATTTGGCTGGAAAGACAGACCTTAAAGTACTCAGTGCTTGGGGCACTGCAAGGCATACGGAACCTGCTTGCACAAGAACAGGGATGGTGACCCAAATTACCTATATTGTAGAAACAAAATAAAAAATCAAAGCCTCATATTTTTTGTGTTGAAACTCTTGTTTTCTTGGCCACTGTAAGGAAGCATCCCTGAAATGCGTGCAATATATTGTGCAGCTGGACAACACCGTGAAATTCAAACGAGAGCTGAGCTTCTTCACTGAATTGCATACTGAAGAGAAGGAAATAAATACTTCTCTTAATCAGGCTGTGCCTTTGACATGAGGCTATGTTATCTTTATGTTTTCATTGGTAGCCTGCTGCAAATTCTTTGAACCCTTCTCCATACAAAAGGGTCTAACAGTTGCAAAAATACTATCTGGCTTCCTACCCAGAGTCTTCCTGTCTGAATAGGAACCTGCGCTTTAAAGCTCTAGAGCAAAAGAGCCTTAAGGCAACTCTATTTTTCAATTCAAATTTATCCATATTCTGTTTGCTTACCCAGAGCCTGTTCAGTGGGGAATTATCTTGTTAAGATCTGGTCGTATACAGTGTATGTGTGGTGTAAATATATGGCCATTTAAAATTCAAATACAGAATGTGGAGGCCATTGTAGGAACCGTCTGTGCCTCAGTGAGCATGAATGAATTATCAGACTGCTTTCATTCTTTCCTCACTGTTGACATTACTATTTGCAGCTGGGAGCTATGCCATAAGTTACCTTTCTATTAGCATTGAAAATTCCAAGGCTTTAAAACCAAAATATTTCTTCTTCTTTTACTCCCAGTTTTATTTGCAGGCAGTAAAACCACACAGTGTTTCTGTTGATCAGAAACTGGTTGAGATGTCGGTAAGCTAAAACACGTTTGGTGTAGTGTGGCTCTGAAAAAAAGAGAACCTGTAGGTTTACTGTTGTGTGACTTCTGTGCTGTGACTGGTTATTTTTACATTGCCCATGAGACTTGTTCCGGGTGACTGTGGTGCTTGGATGGGTGGAGAGGATCTTGTTCTGCTGCAGGGCTGTGCTTCTGGGGTTTTTAGCAGAGAGGGGTTTTTAGCAGATGTGCCTCTAAATATATGGAAAGCTGTAGGCGTAGGTAAAGTAAGTGGCTGTCAGGACATGAGGGCTGCTGGGGTGGCCTGACCTGCTGCCTGCTCTGCCTGCCTCAGGTCTGGAAGCAGCTTGGTGGCTGTTGATGGAGGTAGCAGTTATATCAAGAGGCACAACTGGCACCTCTCAGGAGCACTGATTTCTATCCACCTTCCCCCTCCCAAGCAGCTGACCTGGCTCTCTAGGGGTACCTGTTTCAGCTCTTCACCTTGTTTTCACTATGCCACTCTGGGTCTTGCTGCATTGTCCTTGAGACAGCCAAAGTCAGATTTACTTGCAGTGCTGAGATGCTTTGAGCTACTTTGCTCTGAACATATCACGGTCCTGGCAGTCTCAGCAGCAGGGACATAGGGGAACCCCTTCTCTGAGACAACTCTGCTGCCCCTTCCCCTTTCTCCTGGGATGAGCTCTTTACCTGGATGTCCACATGGAAGAGTTTGAAAAGGATTATTTGAAAGAAAGTTTTTCCAGCAGTAACTTATATCCTGGTGGTGAAGCTGCTCTCTGGGGGTTAGGAGGCTCTCTATATTGCAGCTAATCGAATGCTGGGGGTAGGAAGCACTGTATATTGCAGCTAATTGAATGTTGTTGCTAAGCTGCTGGATAAAAAAATCACAAGTTCCTGAGCTCTGGTGGTAAAACCTACGCACTCCTTCCAAATTCCCAATTCTGCTTGAGGACGGATATCACACAAGGAAACTCTTTGGTCTGTCTCAAAGGGAGCTTGTTTGTTCCTTCTACAGAGTCTGTGAAAAAGCTTTACCTACAGTGTAAGTGGCTGGAGTTCTGGGTCCATGGTTACACCATTTGTCTTTTTTCTTTGCTTGATTCCTGTTTGGCATTGAAATCTCCACCTGAGTCACTTCAAAGTGACAGACGTGGTGTGTAAGCTTATTGAAAGAAGGTGTGTAGCCTTCTTTTTTTGGGGAAAAAAAAGGGGGGGTGGTAATTCCGGCTTGTTATCATGTTTAGGTAAGTTTAAGTGACAGCTTTATCTGCTGATACAAACATCAAGTTCCTCCTCTGCCCCCCACCCTTCACCCTTGAAATTTCTAATGGTCCTGATTTTGCTTTCATGTTGCCTGTGTGCAGTACTTTACACTGAGGGCAAGACACAGGCAAGCATGCAAAATTGATGGTTTCACTTCTTACCAGATTTTCTAACTAAAAAATATTTCCTCCTGGCCGTCCCATCTGCAGATATTTCCACCCCATCTTCTACAATTGTAAAAGCCCCTGTATATTTGATATGTTGTGAGCTTTCACCAGGTTTCAAAGGGGTATTATATTTGCTGGGCAGGTTGCTGCTAGAACATGAAATATGAATGAAATTGTAATTGTATGGCAGTTAGCACAGCTGTAACTGTCACACGCGCTCTGTGTCCTGAATGGCCACATGAAAAAAACCCTCTAAAAACATTTGATTGACTTTTTTTTTTCCCCAGTTAAGCCAAGAAAAAATCCTCAAAATTATGAACATGGTGAAAAATAAAGAAGTGAGCATTGAAGACGCTTTGCATTTGGCACAGAAAGAGGTGTACGCTGAAAAGGTAAAGCCACTCCTTTGATCTATTTTCCTAGACATTCAAATGTATGAGCATGTTCTGGAAAGCCTGGGTGAACATCAGGTGCATGTCTGTATTGCTTTCAAAGATGTATTCCCAACTTGGGAAAACATCTACACTCCAGTTTATGTTAGGGACTAATGGCTAATGCTACCTGTAACCTAAGTAATGGATATCCCATGTAGATGCTGCAGCTACATTGATGTTATTACCTTGATTAAGTAGTTTAAATTTACATCAGATGTGTCTACATGAGTTTATTCCAAGTGTAGCATCAAGTACTTTAACAATACATTCAGGGTGAAATCCTTGGGGTGATACCATGAAGAGCCAGAGGAAAATGGTGGACCTAATCTCTGAGGAGTCTTCTACAGTTGGGCTATCCCTGGGGCATGACTGGTCACCATAAGAGGTCAGATAACTCAGCATTATGCATGGCCACACAAATGGCAGGCTACAAAGTACAAAGCCTTGGCCTGTGTGACTTCAATTCTAACATTGCCTATGGTTGACTCGGACCTTCCATCAGACAAAAGTTGGAATAAGTGTAAATATGGCTTAAAATTGGGTTTGAGTCCTACAACAACATAGCTTTGCTGATCATAGATCAATGGGACTGGAAGTTCTAGTCCAGAGATAATTTCAGGATCAGGCTGAGACAAAGCAATGTCATCTTTTTTTTTTTTTTTACAAAACCGTCATCTCTTCACTGACAATCAGAAGATGACGTTTTTCCATTTTATAGAAAGTATGGAAATTCCTTCCTGAGAAAGTAGAAACTGATACTGGTGAGTGAAAATGCTCTGAGAATGAGGAGGACGTTAATTGTGTGTATTAGAGCATCAGCCTTGAACTCTCCCTAATCCCTGCTCAGCCTCTCTGTCATTGCAATCTCTGCCCATCATCACCACACAAGTGCCAGAAGCGAATTCTTTGGAGAAATTCTCACTATTTCCCCTTCTGCTCGGATTTTTGACCCAGCCTCTTTATGCAGCATGTCCAGCAAACAGTGAAATCTTATCATGTGCTAATGACACAATCTGGGTTTTCCTTTTTGCACCGCAGGAGCTGAGAGAGATTCCGAGATAAATCTGGTGCTTTTTGGAATTTGTAAAATAACTTTCTGAACTGCTGATTAACTTCTTGGCTGGAAAGAAGTAGAAGCACAAATAAATACTAATAGAAAAGCAGCACAGGTTTTGCAGAAGGGCTGCAGTCACAAAAATACAAACTCAGCAGTGTAAGGCTGTGTGGAAATACATTCTTGGTGTAAGAAGAGAAAGGGTTTCTTTGCTACTTCTGCCATGTTAAGTTTTTGTGATAGCTAATTATTAGAACTCTCTCTTCTCCTTTCTGTCTTCCTGCTTTCCCTTTCATCTTCCATCCCAATCTGTGATCCCTTCATTAATTCAGTAGGACTTGTGGATGCTTTATATTTGTGAAAATCAAGTCAGAAGGATGCTTCCATGTATCTCCATGTGGAGTTCCTCTGCAAAGCCTCCAGTGCTGTTTGAATACTGTTCGCGAAGGGAGATTTAAGCTATGAATATGATTGGATTTGAGTGGACAAAAATTAGAGCAGTGTTGGACATATTGCTGATTTCTGTTTTTCAGGATTCACAGGATTTGCTAACCGGCTCCCAATTTAACTTCATCATCTACAAATACAAACATTATCGGTGGCAGAAACGAATTTTGCAGGTAAAACTTCAAAACTTTTGAAGCAATATATAAAAGCTAGAGGGTGTTTGGGCTGCTCAGTAAATGTTATGAGACAGCATAAAAATACCTTGTAGTTCAGCTACCTATCAGAGAGGTGGAAGATACTAAAAAACCTTCTATCTTTTATGCTGAAAGCATTCTGGGTTAGTATCTGAAACTCCCTCTACTGAGACCCTTGGGAGGGTATAGAATAGACTCTGAGCTAAGAGATTGTTTCACCTCTAAACCTCGTGATTGGTCACTGTCGTGGTTTAAGCCCAGCCGATAACTCAGAACCATGCAGCTGCTCGGTCCCTCCCCTCCTTCTTTCTCCTGCCTCTCCAAGACGGATGGGGAAGAGAATTGAAAGGATGTAAATCCCACGGGTTGAGATAAGAACACTCCAGTAACTAAGGTATAACACAAAACCACTACTGCTACCACCAATAATGATAAAGGAAATAACAAGTGGAGAGAATGCAACCGCTCACCACCTGCCGAACAATACCCAGCCCAACCTGAGCAGCGATCTGGGCCTTCCAGGTGACTTCCCCCAGTTTTTACACTGGGCATGACATGCTGTGGTATGGAATACCCCTTTGGCTAGTTTGGGTCAGGTGTCCTGTCTCTGCTTCCTCCTGGCTTCTTGTGCCCCTCCTCACTGGCAGAGCATGAAACTGAAAAGTCCTTGATTGGAGGTTTTAAACATCACTTAGCAGCAACTAAAAACATCGGTGTTATCAGCGTTGTTCTTGGGCTAAAGGGTTAAAAGTCAAAAACACAGCACTGCACCAGCTGAACCCAGGACAGTCACAAAGATGATTGATTATAGTAGATTCTGCCTGGGAGTTGCTCTTACTCACTGGCAGCAGTAAATGCACACAGGCGATGTGTGTATTTGCACACAAGTGATGTGTGCTGATGATACTTAAGTATCTGCTCCATCTGACAGGACATCATTTCAGCTGCACTCTCTAGAACATTAGAAAGAAATGTTCCTGGGGATATTTAGAAGATTTATTTGGCACTTCATCTCTGGTTACTGTATTCTTTGACACTGTAAACCCCTAAGGCTTTACTGACTTGTATGATATTAAAGCAAACTTCTGTTGATAACACTTGATAATGATTTCCCAGTTCCACAAAATCAGTGACAAAGATTTCATGTTGTTTCCAGGAAACTGGATTTCACTGACTTTTTCCTGCAGTTTGGACAAAATTTGATAATGAGCAAGTCATACATGCTAGAGGTTTTTTTTTGTTTGCTACATCTTAACTGTAGAAAGCATAATCTCTTTATTTCTCTCAATATCCAGTGGCTTTTGGAATGAAAAGATTATTTTTTTTAAGACATAAAGCTGATGGAAAAATGGAGAAAGCCATATTATATATGGAAGTTATAGGTCTAAAAATCTGAAGTAGTTTAATTCTAGTTCTCTAAGTTACCAGAAGCCATCAAAAGTCAGAGATAATAATGACAATGGTTCTGCTTTGGAGATTTCCTGCTATAAGCAGGATGGAGGGAAGGGCCAAGGTCGTAGCATTTGGTTGGCACGGTCTGCACTATAGGAATGAAAGGTGCCAAGAATCATTTATGACCAAAGGTAAATATCTAGCCCAGGTGAGATCTGACTCTTCTGAATTTGTCTTCTCTGTTGGCTCTATTCACTGAAGTTGGGCAGTCAGATAATATTCTCATCTTATTATGTCAACAAAGCTGTTTCTGCTCAGCGGGGACTGACACATAGAACACATACTGGAATCTGCCTATATCAGTTTTTAACACTGCCAATATAGATTGTCCAGTGGAAGAATAATAATCTTCTTTTGAAGCAAACAATTTCTAATTGCTGTAGTTGTGAGACAGCATATTCACGTGGTATTCAAGGCCAGGCTGGACAAAGCCGTGGGTGACATGGTTTAGTGTGAGGTGTCCCTGCCTATGGCAGGGGGGTTGGAACTGGATGATATTAAGGTCCTTTCCAACCCTAACTATTATATGATTCTATGATTATTACTGCTCCCTTCATCTGTATGTATACATATATTTTTATAGATACAGGAAAAAAATCTGTGATAGCTAAGATCTAAACTGAAACACAATAGTATTTAAATCGGAAAGTAATCTGTCAACAGCGTTGTCTTTTCTTGACACAGAAGTGGCTGTTGTAGAAATAGCCACCTCTGCTTTGTATCAATACTGGGGCATAAGTTGAATCTCTGCTGAGATGGTCATGCCATTAATTTGTGCTACCTCTACTTCTGAATGGGAAGTTTTTGCACTGGGTTGTATAAGACAAGGAGAATTTAAAATGGAATAATATTTCAGAGTGATAAATTGATGCATATTCATAAACAGAGATAGGGAAAGATGCTTACAATGAATATCCCTTTGTTTTGAAACTAAGTCAAATATGATACAGTATCTTGATGAAGTAATGTCATTTTTTTAAATTCTATTCATGGACAAGATAGATACATATTCTAAGCTGGTCCTTTGTCTACATGCCCTTGCATGGGAATATCGGAGATGCTCTTTCCTTCCCAGTGAAGAGCAGTGATGGCGTCAAGTAATGAAGAACTTTCTGTTCCAGATTGATTTCAACACAAGGACCATTTTTAACATTGAAAAAGGAATTATTAAGAAACAGTTCCCTTTCTCACAAGTCAAAGCCTGTGAAGATACTGAAAGGAGGCGTTTCAGCATTGTGTTTCATGGGCGACAAGATTATGAGCTGGAAGCAGTGTCTCTTGATGATAAAAGGAAGGTAAGTTTTTACAGTGTCACAGACAGATTGCTATAAATAACAACATGGTAGTACCCAGCAGGTCCTGATTGTAAATGGGAATTGTTATGATGTGCATTGTGCAAGCAAAGAATTAGGTATGTCTTTATTCTATCTAACTCCTTTTGAGTTCTAGGTTTAATTAAATATTTCAAGCAGTTATTGTAATTACACTTTACACTGAAACCCAAGAAACTGGAGTCATGACATCAGAACTGGCTCTTCACCTGAATGCAGACAGCCTGTGTGTTTAGGGGTGATTGAGTCTTGGAGCTTGTGTCATCCCCACTGCTGAAGTGCTGAAGCCAGCTGCACAATTTATGTTGAGGTACAAACTCTCAAAAAGAGTGGAAAAGTTTGCATCCAAGCTTCTGCTGTGGCCCCTCTTTTTAAGGTGCTTTTTGAGAGGGATTCATTTCTCATGAAACTCAATGCTTCACGTGCAGAAACTTTCATTCCAGATGAACAGTACCTCATGGTTGATTAACTTAATTTTCAAAGTAGATTACACTCAGCAGAAGAGCTCAAAAAGTAACATGTATTCAATAGTAAAAGCGCTCAAATATAGCCCTGTATAACAAAAAGAATGCTTTAAATTCACACCCACCTTAATCCATGCTATTTTCAACTAGGCAAGCCTTCATTTTCCTGCTGTTTGAGACTTCAAGCTAAGTCAATCAAGTACTATTTGGGCTTGAAGTGAGCTGAACAAAATCTTTGTCCTGGATTGCTTTGTATATGAATTAAAAAATAATAAATTAAAAATGTTTTACAGTAACCCCTCCAGAATAAAATTATATTCTCCTTACACTGATAGATTTAGCACTGTGGGCATAAAACCAAATGGCAGCTAAGTAGTTTGTCATCATAGAAAGACCTTATTTATTTTACGTTAATTTATTTTACCCATTTGGCTGCTGCTCAGTGTCATTTTTATACTTGAAAAATCCCCCTATTAATGTCTTATTCAAGGGAATTATCATGGAAAATATACTCTTTCTGCTGCCATTTATTATGTAGATAACATACCTTCTGAGCAGAGTCATACAGAGCAATTCATGCAAGAGACCAGCAGAGTCAAGCTTTGGAAGACCTGCAGAATGTGATGTGATACATGAAGGACTGTTGGATTTGCAGCAAAACACTTGTACATGCACTGAATGGGTGAAGTATGAACTGCACTTTTGTAGACCTTTGGGCTGCGGATTTCATTGCAATTTCTGATAAAGAAGAATTTAATTTGCTGATAAGTTAATTATTTAAATGTCTTTTTAAAGTTAAAATGTAAATGCCAAAACTGCATGGGATGAAATCACTGAAATTAACTGTTAGTGCAATAGTGATACGGAACAAAATGAAGCTCTGTTGTGTACTAGAGACTGTTACGTGCATAACTAGCACAAATAGTGTTCAGAGTGATTTTAGTGTGAGTCTTTATGTTTACCTCTTGAATTTTTACTTGATTGAAAATTCCTTTTTCAATCATTTTTCAATCATTTTTTTTTATGATTGAAAAAATTCCTTTTTCAATCATAAGGAAAAGGAGAAAAAGAAAGCAAAGCAGAGACGTATGAGTCCTGCTGGAGAATGTTGACTTACACTGGCCAAAGTGGTTGCTCCAAAATTCATAATTCATTCTCGAAATGTTCTGAGCTTCCCTCCCATGGCAGTGGCCAACCATGGTGGCCTAATGGGGTGATGGTTTTAGAGACAGGAATCGTTATTCAGTAGAAAATGGACCATCACTACCATTTTGTTCAGCCCCTAAACATCACAGATAAGCACGACTTTCGCTTCTGCTTATTCTATTACTGAACTAGTGAACCAGACACAGTGGTTTTACATAGTTCACTCCCCATTCCACAGACAACCCATCCTTCCCCTGAGCCAGATCCTAAAATACCTGGAAATTTTTGTACCATCAGAAAAAGAGAGAAAAAAAAAGTCTGACTAGCAAAAGCTAATGAAAAAAAATGTAACACTGTAATCATCTGCACAGAGCAATTATCTCAAAGACTTCAGAGAAAATGATTTTAATTGTTTTTAAAAGGCTACCACTGTAAATCTTGTAAACGCCATCCTCGAGCATGCCCAAGAGTTGTTACCTTGCAACATTTAACAAGTTTGTTAACAAAAAAAATTGATTTTTATTTATCTGACGAAGCAAAGCCCTTGTTGATTTCTGCTTGATGTTAATCCTCTCTTTTTTTTTGGCAAAGTAAATAATGGCGGAAACATCTGGAGATCCTATTAAACTATAAGTTCCTGCTTTAAAGAAAGGAGAGATCAATATAACTGCCAGCTCCATTAAACAATTCTTATCTCTTGGGCTGTTTATGTGGGAATAGCTGCAATTTGTATTTTATGTTTAATTCTTCTGGAGCAGCTAACCTTATTTAAATTCCTCATAGAACACCTTAATCAACTAGCCACACCTTGAAGAAAGAGTGGAAGAAAAGAAAGGTCTGATAGAACTGTCAGGATGATAAAGACATGCAGTAACCCTCAGGAAAAATGAAAATGTAAATGCTTGAATAAGAATAAAAAGTGCATACAGTAAAGCCCTGCTTTTTATAAGCAGCAGAGCAGAATCCTAGAGCAGAGACTGAAGCTGAAGATTGTGCTGTAAATAGAATCTGTGTATGGTCAGGCAATTTCTGCAAGGACTAATTTATCACTTAAATAGATAATACCCCAAATTTGGCACAGTTAGTTCTGATGGAAGCCCTTGACAGCAGACTACTTTGACCTTTTCCTGCCAGGTGACTCCTGGGAATGAGGAGGGACCAGGATCAGACCTTATGGAGTAAAAGCATATACAGAGGCATTTCTAAGAGAGAGAGAGAGTTATTGGACTATAAGATTGGGCACTAACTTATATCATGGTGACTTGTTTATAGCTTGGTGACAGTGGAACCTACCAGACACAGAAATTCTGAAGCCTTGTCATATTGTGCACTGCTCAGCCACACAGAGAATTCCTTTAAAAGTTCACAGTCCAAAAGACCCACCATCCCAAAAACCTGAAAGGAATACATGGAATGGGCTGGACAGAGAGTGGCTTAAAAATTAACAGAACTTGGGCAATTTTTAGTTGATAGTAAGATCTTAGTTTTAGCTTTCTCATTAGACGTGGCAGGCTGGAAGTTCCTATGTTATATCACAGTTTACTTATGAGTCAGATGAGAATAAAAAGCCTTTATCGTGAAGGTTCTATGCTTTGAGAGCATTGTACCTGTTCGTGGAAGATGCTATAAAAATGTGGAGACTTACTGACATTAGAAAATGCTTTAACAATGTAGTCGGTGAAGAATGAGCTATATCTCCATTCCTTGTCCTACAGGTACTTGGTACAACTACATGAAGGAGAATTGGCTTTATATTGCATAGATCTGGGAAGAAAGAACAGCACTGCAGACCCTGTAACAACTACAATTAATTTGACAGGTGGTGATGTGAGTGTCAGCAAGGAAGATGGATGCAGTACCTTTTCAATTCAGACCAAAGAACACAATTATTTGTAAGTATAGTTGGCAATTAATAATTTGTTAAAGCAGAAGTACTGAAAGCATGGTCAAGCAATGGAGAACAAAATGCAACAGTGGAGAAACGAGGCCATCAGAATTATGTAATTACCCCTCCCATTGTTCTGCAGTGATTTGATGAGTGTTTTAAAGAAGAATTAAAAGTACCACGTTGTGGGATTGAGAAGAGACATTGAAATACTGCCAACAAAAGCTTGTCTAGTTGTCATGTCAGGAGGCAGTGAAGAAATATGTCATTCAGCTTGATAGGCCAGCTGTGTGAACAAGTTCTGACTAGCTTGTGCAACAATCACAGTGAAACAGAGCTCACTGTTCACCTTCTCCCAAGGTGGAGAAGACGAGTTAGGAGGTAACTGCACCACAAAGTCAATATATGGCAAAAATTCAGCTCTCTAACCTTAGACACGTAAGCAATTGACTCTGTCTGAAAAGGTCAGAGTGAGCAACACTAGGCTCCTTTTAACCAGTAAAACAGCTGAACATCATTCTGATTAAATAAGAAATATCTGTGGCTGTATTAGTCAGCATGTTATTTACACTGCCTTGTGTTTATATATGACACTCTTAAATTTCAGGTTTCGTATACCCCTTACTGTCCAAAATAACAGGATGGAGGATGTCAGCAAGCTCCAGAATGAGTGGGTCTCTCTCATAGAAAGGTACTGTCAGCTGTGCAAGGGTGCCTCGCTGCCTCAGGAGGGGTCTCAAGGATGCACCTTCTCTGAAGCTGATTACGAGGATTTCACTGAACCTCTGAATGAACAGAAAGAAGAGATCTTCCACTTAGGTGGGAGCTCTCCAACAGCCAGTCTGAACAAGTCTTCAAGCCCCCAGACAAAGTTTACAGAGGGGGAATCAGCCTCAGCATCACCACCTCTTCCACGTCCCAGAAGCAAGGCAGAGGTTCCACCAGCCCCACCTGCACTCCCACAGCCCTGCAGCCTCACTCCATTGACAAAGAGAACCAAAGCCTTTCACTGGGATGTTGTTCCTTATGATAAGGTGAGGATGAAACTGATGGTATCTGTTACAGAAAAACAACACTGCAGCCTGTATTACAAGTTATCACAGAAGTACAGCTGTGCCACAAAACAACCTGGATGCCCTTTTCTGTGTTTGGATGAAAAGTGCCTCTGTTCTTTGTCTTTTTGCTTATCCTGTCACTCCCATATTTTTAGATTCAAAAGTCTGTCTGGGGATCGTGTGACCCATGCAAGAAAAAAATAGATGTATCCAGACTCTGTGACCAGTTCCAGATCCAGGAGACTGCATTATTTTTAGGCAATGAACCTTCAGTGAATCAGCACATCATGTTAGATCGAAAAGTTGCGCATAACTTCAGTAAGTGTATTAATAACAACTGTGTACTCCTATCTGGAAGCCTGGGGTGAGCACTGCATGCATTTTCTATTTGTACGTTCTGCCATTCAATAGGCAATGAGACAAGCTTGCGTTTAATTCATCTTTTAATTCAGTGTCCTTCTACTCATTTATAAAAGTAGGTCTAATGGCTCAGTTGCTCTAAATGTGGTCCTTAATGATGTAGAGTAGAAGCACTGAACTTCTCCACTTTCATAAAACATGTGGATGTGCCATTGAACTGTGATGCTGTTGTCTTAGGGCAGACATGTAAAAATCATGTATGACACCTGTGGAATCTCTGACTTTTCAGATTCTGTGGGCTATGCAGGTGAAACAAGTCAACAGAAAGTTTGAGAACTGTGCTGTCTCTTTCCTATATTGAACATTCAAGAACATTTCTGTAGGTGTAGATGGCTTGGTGTAAGAAGACTTTGTGCCAGCTACAAGCCACGTCACAGGAACACTCTTGGTTTATCTCTGGCTTAGACTGTGAATGGCTGTCTTGAATGATCCTGACCAGGATTCTTCCCTGTTACATCCCAAGTATGATTCTGCTGAAGGCCTGACCTATAGCAGTCTATCACACCTAATGAAGCAGTTCAACACATAGTTCTAGTCTTACTAATAAAAGGATATAAAGGTTTTTCAATTACTTTGATGAGAATTGGTAAATATTAAAGGAGCAAGAGTAATTGTTCTTCAAAGACTGCTCCGATTTCTATTACAGACATGCCTTTCCAAAAAAGTTCTATATCCTAGTGATGTTTTAAGAAACGTTACATGTGTAAAGAATTTGGGGCAGTTAATTTTGAAGTTTTAATGATTTCATCTTTATGAATATTGATAAGAGAATATATTTTGGAGATTGTGTAAAGTTTTAATTGGGAACAGTAAATGGAGATAACTTGTTGGAATTATTGCATCCATTGACTAACAGTTTGAACGGTTAAAAGGCAGTGATACAAAAGTGCAGTTGCAGATAAAAAGAATCCTGTAATAGCACTTTTATCTACTAAATTATTGCAGTTTCTTTGAGGAATTTTCTTTGGGTTTGCAAATAGCACCATTCTTTCTTTTGATCCTATTCTTCTTACATTTTTTTTTTCATTGAGATATTATATGTCTCTTAATTTTATCCTTGAAGTCCTGTCAGTGAGATTTTTGGCACATGCTTATTTTAATGGACATTGCTTAGATCAAAAGTTAATTTGATCATGAGAATTCTGAGTAATCTTCCTGCAAGTGCTGCAAACCGCAGTTCTTAAATTGATGAATAAAAAGATGAAGCTCCCAAATGCCAGTAGGTTAAAATTTCTCGACAATGTGAGTGGCTTTCTGAATACAAGAGGAAAACGAGAGTTCTGAGGGAAGACCTACACACTAAATTCAAGGCCAGTGTATGAGAAAATGCAAATAAAAGTTAAGTCATCTACTGGGTTCTTCTAGACAAAATAAATTCTGCCATACAGAGAACAGGTACAAGAAAGAGAGATACAAGAAAAACATCCTTTGATTTGCAATGAAAAAGTTTGGGGGGACACTTCAATGTACATATAAATCCAAGAACTTGGGATCCAGTGGGTGTAAATCTGATTTATGAGTCAAAATACCAGCTTCTGTGCCTTGATTTCTGTCTGTTTCTCTGTATGAGACCCAGTTTCCCTCATATATAACCCTTCTTTTCCTTAGGAAAATACTTTGGCAAAGTCTGGTGACTAGAATTTACACAGCAGCTGCTTTCAGCCACTGAAAACATTCAAGAAATTATTAAATGCTTTATAGACAGGTTGTGAACATTTCAAAATCAACATTTTACTCTGAGTTATTCATTCTGTTATGGTCTGTAGACATTACTACTCCTGAAGAGATACATGGTTAAAAGGCATAGGAAAGCAAAAGCTACAAGGCATAAAAGGCATAAAATGGAAAAAGGGAAGATTCTGCCAAGCTTAGCACTAACTTTAGACCTTATAATAAAATTAAAAGAGTGGAAAGTAGTGTGTCAGAGGAAGAATAAATGGTATATTCTTCATTGGTCAACAGTCTTCTGAGAATCATTAATAGCTGAATTGAGCCACAGCAAGTTCCTATAACCTGAAAAACTATTGCTTTTTAGAATTAGAGAAAGAAAACCTGAAACAAAATTGCATCAGACACATCCTTCCTGAATTCTCCTTCCCAATCCCCTTTTGCTGCTCAAGGAGTTCTGTCATAGCAAAGACTGCAGCAAAAGTTTCATGCCAACACTGAGAAGCATTTGAATCTTTTTAGATTATCTGCTATTGCCTTTTGTTCACTTCCTTGTGCTTCCTGTTTTACCTTTATCCTTTAGTGATGATGATGGAGACAGACAGCAACTAAAGAATAACCAATATGACAAAGTGGTCTTTTGGGGAGCAACAGCCTTACAAATGATTCTTCACCTGTTTGAGGAACAATCTTATTTCCATTTTCCTATCATAATATGTATTATGAGCCAGCCCCATGTCAGCATAGAAGTCTTAAACATTACAAAAACACTTAATAGAATTTTAGAATATCAGGAAGTGTGGAATGAGTGAGCACTTCTGATCCCAGGCAGCCTTACTCATTCTGGGAGTAATTTTTCTTGCATAGACTCTACTTATTTTCTTTTGAATCCTAGAAATTAAACAAACTAAGCAAACAAAATGAAAATAATTGGAAAAATTAATTTATTTAACCTTCAAAATAATATAATATTCAATACATTGTGTTGTTATTTGGAAAAGAAATATTTTGTCTGTTGAGCTGAGTACAAGAGAAATACATAGGAGCAAGTACTTGAGTATCTTCTGATAAGTGTCTTGATAGTTCTGTCTTAAGCATTGATTGACAGAAATATGTTTGCTTGTCTATTACTATGTATATTTAAAGAAAATGAAAATACTGAGTTCTTGCCTTAGTTTTTGGTGTTTTGTTTTTTTTTTCTTAAATCTGGAAAGTAAATATCAATATTAAGAAACGTTTGGGTGATTTTTCCTTTCTTTGAGCATTTTCTTGCAAGTAATCTAAGAATCTTATTCCTCCAGACATTTTTCTTAAAAGTTTCCACATAAGACCAAGTGAGCTGAAAGAAAAACTATATATTGTACATGAAAAGAATGGTGGACTTACGGATGAGCAGATTACAGCACTAAGAAGGTAATCTTTGGGGTTCAATTGTTTGTTTATAATACAGACTACCATTTGGAGAAGGCATAATCTTCTGCAAATAATGTGAAGTTTGGGAAAGATGTTACTGAAATATTGGATCTGTCCTGACTGTGAATACAGTATTAGGGTTGCACACAGAAATCTCAGTCTTTGTAACTGAGATTTTAGTGTATGCCTCCAAAATGTCACTTTCCCCCATGTTGTGTAGGAAAGGAGATTTCAAGAAATGACAACAAATATGACATGATTTTGTGAACTACTTATAAGGAGCAGTGTTAGTAAAATAAGTTGAGGCAGTGAACAGCTGTAACTTGATGAGAAAACTACAGTATCTCTTACTACAGTCCTACCATCTATTATGGGATCAGAAATGCAAGATTTAAAATTGGTATGGAGAGGACGGAAGGCAGAGAAGTGTTAAAGGAGCTTCATGGGTTGATGGGCTAGTAAGAATATTGGTATTTCTGAGTTGCAGAGATTTGTAGATTTGTGGGTTTAAAGCAGCATGCAAATTTCTGTATCATTAAAAAATTGAATTATTACATTGAGACAAATAGATTTCAGGAGTGTAAGCAAACTACTGGTATGTGAAATTTATAGGAAGTGGATTGTACCTGTTTTACTAGTTTAAGATATGGAAAGAAAGGAAAGAAGCAGAATCCTAGAGTAACATCTGTAATACATCCTAGTCCCCATGTAATACTTGGGCCATTCATTAAATGCATTCATATGAAAATTTGATGTAAAACTGTTTCTTGCTTCAAAATGAGGAAAAGAAAAAGTGTTTTGCCAAAGTGAGCTTGGAAAAAGATGACACAGGCAAAGAAAGCAAGGAAGTAACAACTTGTGGAATGTGTTTAATTTGGGCCTTAAAATCTTTATCTTAATCAATGCATCACAGTAATTTTAAAGTCTGCAGAATCATGTCTGTACTTAGAAAGTGATCTAAATGGGAACAACAGACATGTAGTATGGAATCACTGTTCTGTGAGATGGTTTGTACACACCTTGCCTGAAGTAAAAAGGGACATGAACAAGACACTGAATATGTCAATGTATATGTGTTTGACCACACTCTTCTGTTCAAGCCCTAATACAGCACTGCATATTCAGTCCAGGACCAACATGATGCTGAAATTGGTAACACCACTGAGGTCACTAATTTACAGCATCTGTGGTCTTTGCCATCACCCAATTGTAATAATTATAATGGCAATGAAACTTGAAAGATTACATTTTTTCTTTGAAAATTTCAGTCTTCTTTTCATAGCAGTAATGCTGAGGAAATGTTTCTAGGAGTGTAATGTGTAAGAGTTATTGGATGCTGTATTACTCTATGCTATATATGATCAAGGATTCTCATTTATTGCCAAAATCTAGAAATGTATGTACAAATCTTGCAGTGAAAGAAAGCTAATTTTTCCACCCAGTAGTTTTAGAAGAATTACTGAAATAGATGAGGTGCATTTCAGAGTTAAGGGTTGGATTTCCAAGGCAGTTCAGTGTCTTTTGTCTCCCATTCACACATCTCATCGAAGGAGCAGATTCTTATCACAAAACATAAGCACTTATAAGTTTCTCTCGTACAATTCATTGCAGTGGATGTGGCACAACACAAGTAGCTGAACACTTCATGCTTTTGAAGATATTTTCACTTGATTTTAAGTGCCATGGGGGAAAATTTTACCGTTAAAATGTGTCCTCCAGCTAACTGAGAACCTGTAGTTATGACAGGAGTTTAAGCAGGGTAGTCCGTGGCTGGAAAATTCCTCTCTGTGCAAATTATACCTGTCACACTGTCTAAGCCTGAGCAGGAACTCTAAATTCTACTATTGCTGAATGAAAAATAATTAAAGCCAAACCCAAGATTACATTTTAAAGCCTGTGACCAATGAGCAAAATGTCCTGCTCGTGTATCCAGTGAATGTGAGTGGAGGTGGTGGTAAATCAGTAGAAGCTTCAGGACTTATTTTGATACAGAAACAGTTCCACAGTTCTCTGAATAATTCTTTATCCTGATGTCTTAAAATCAATAGCAAAGGACTCTTTTGCCCTATAAACTTAATTTTTCAGAACAGTGGGAGATATTTTCATTGTAGAAATTCCGAGTTGCATTCATATGAAGATATATTTATGGAATGCATTCACATATTCCTGTGCTTCCTTTTCCACGGTTTCCATTGTTTAATGCTTTAAACTGTAAAGCTAGGTAATCTACTAGTTTCACTTTCCGTGCACAATACATTAAAAGAAGTCGATGTGATATCAGGCTTCTGATTAAACAAAGATGTTTGCTGTCAGCTTTAAATAAAATTGTTCTCTCAATTTGCTTTAAAAGTCAAACTATTTTTAATGATAAGTAAAAACCCTTTCATTTGCCAACAGTTAACTGTTATTTTTAAATGAGAATTCACTTTTGTTTCCTGATGCTGAAGGCTGATGAATGGAATATATTATAATCTGCTTTAATATAATAGCTCAAAACCCAGCAATAATTCAATGGAAATGTCATATTAAATTATTGACAACAGCAAAAAAAGCACCTTTATTGTTTGTCTTGTATTTAACATGCTTAAATCGTTGCATTATTTTTTCTATCTTTGAATAAATTTCCTAACTTTTAATGGAAATGCAGATAAATCCCCTGAATGTTTAATCACAGTTGCTACAAATTCAATAGGTTGTTTGCAGAAAAAGAAGTTAGTAGACCTGAATACTTATTTAAGATTCTTAACACTCCTCATATGTTAGCTATTACATTGATTTCATTTTTCTTAAGGTATGCTATGAATTCCCATAGTGTATCAGGCAGACAAAGGAGAACTGTGATGGCGTGTTTATTTTTCCAAGTGGAGGCATGTTTAAAGATGCCAGTTTTTAAGAATCTGCTGCTATGGAGTACTGTGGAAGAATATTCTGTTACCATATGCAGAAAGAAGAAAGCTGTGTTGCATGCTATCATAACAAAACCAAGAAACAGATCTTGGATGTGATGCAGCACTTAGAGAGACAGAAATGCCATTGCCCACTCTTGTTTCATGGGTAATTAAAACTGTTTTGGAGGTAGGAGTCAGTCAGACAGTGGGGCCCATTGGTTAATCACACCACAGCATGAGTTTGCTCTGCTTTTCTGCTAATTTTTCAGAGAAGTTATTGCTGGAGTCAAGCTGAGCCAGCATGGCCACAACCACTCAGAAAGTGTATGTTGTTCCTAGGTGCTTTGGAAATGTTGACAGATATGATTCTCAGATCAATGAAAACATGGCACGTATATATCAAGCTCAGAGTTTATGAACCTCTCTGGAAATTATGTCCTTAACTTCTCTGTGTGATTTTATGTGTTCCAATCCCATGCCATCGTAAATTGACTGTAGATCAGCAGCTGAACAGTACTGACTGTTATTTTCAAGCCTTATATAAACATTCAAGCATTTCCAGATATGCAGATGTATCTGCAGATCATTTTTGCTTGACATCACGTAGCTGGCTCAAATGTCTATAAAGTTCCAATGGTTAAAGAATAAATATGCAATGTGTAACCCACATGAAATAGTAGGGAATTCTGATGGAACGGAATGGTAGTTTTATGTTACGGTAATATAGAATGAAGAGGAAGTGGACATCTGGTTTTCATTTGCTCCTTTACAGATACATGCCAACACCAAAAGATGCAGAAAGGTACCAGTCATTCAAGGGGTCTTCTTCAGAGCTGCACGTGGTGGATCAGTTTATGTTAGAGGTAAGAAGGTGTGCCATTTTTAGGACACTCTCCTAGATAAAACCACTACAAGAAGCTGCTGTTTGTAACTTAAATTTACAATCTCAGCTAGAATCAGTAGAAGAGGATTTATCTGATAAAGAGTTGAGACAGGTAGATGAAAAGAACTGTATGGATCCCTTTGTGTCTCCAAGTCACATGCCCTCCCTCTCTTCCAAAGTAGGAGCTGATTTATTCTGAGCTAGATTTCTAAAACCTGTGAGCATAAAACTGTATGCATTTAACCATTCTTACAAGAAATGAGTGTCACCGATTTTAATAATGTCTGGCCTTAGGAGTGTACAGTGCCTTCTTAAATTTGCTTTTGCAAAATGCATATTCAGGTATGTGCCATAGTATATCTACAGACTTAAGGCCTAGAATAAAATGAATAAATGAGCACAGAAATCAGGAGAACTATGGTGCAGCAAATTACTCAAATTATGAAAGATATGTGCTTGTTTTGGTATAAACACAGGTTTTGATTCTTTTTCTGTTCAACTCCATGCAGATGTGTAAAATCCCCCACTTAGGCCAGAGGTTGGATCTTCTGCTTACCATACGTGAGCTCCCTGTAAGCATGAGAGATTTGGAGCCTGTAAGTAGCACGGTTTATAGTGTGTTCATAGTGTGTTTGTAACCAGAATCTACCAGCTAGATGGTAGAGGGCTGAGTGGCCTCAGTGCAGATTTCAAGCTGGTGTAGTTAGGGAGGTTGTGGGATTTCCCCACACCTCATTTTTTTGCCTGTAGCAAAATATCTCATGGTCCATAATGGAAGCAATTCATAGTGTAATAATCCAGGCAGCCTAGTGTATAAAAAAAAAAAACAAACATTTCATGGCTCTGTTCAAAATTAACAAGCAGAAAGGTTAAAAAACTTCATAAAATCTCTGTAGTTCATGGCTTTGATAGCCAAGGAATTGTAAATGGCATGAACTGTTAGAGACAGTCTACATTTGAAATGCAGTGGTGCTATCAGCCAGTGCACTTGGAATGCTTTTGGGAATCCAATTAGTTTAACTGTATTTTGGTAATGATGGTATACCACAGTACTGGTTCAAAACAAAACAGTATATACATGTATGTGCATTCAATATCATCCTTATTCCATGAAGATTCAAGAAGCAGTTGCTAACGGAACTGGCAGAGGAATAGACTTCCACAAGGGAGAAAGAAAAGAACAGGAAAGGATTTTCAAATTTTAGCTCATGCTGTTGAATTTTCCTCTTTCTTTGGGCAGTGATAAGACAGAAAAGAATTTCACCATTAAAATTCAATTCCTTTTGTGTGGAGGTTCTTGCCCCACAAGCTGAAGGAATCAATCTAATGTCATAGAACTGTAGAGCAATTTTTGCACGATTTGACCAGCATCTCATAGGCATTTATGATGTTTAGAAGACCGCAGGAAGATTACAGCCCCGAACTGAAGTGTTGCAAACCACAGTTCAAGTCTCTTGCCTCTTTTAAGGTTGATTGAGGAGTAGGGGCACGCAAATAAACAGTGCTCCAGTTGCATGGACTGGATATTCTTGTTCCAAACTGCTGCCTTACCTGCCATGGTTTGCGTAGGCTTTGATTCAAAACAAAGTGTTTCAACATGATTCTGTTCCTATGAAAATGTTGCAAAGTTTTTGCTGTCATTCTGCATGGGGGTGATAACAAAACTTGGAAGTTCTGCAAGTGTGTTATCCTTTGTCTGGCTTGATTAAAACCGTAGTAACAGTTAACAAAGCTCAGAAGGGGAACAGACGGAAAACACTGAGGAGATGCACAGATTTCTGACCCTGCCTGATGCAGTGCTACACCTTTGCTGTCCTCCACTGAAACTAAATATTTGAATACTTGGAATCTATTACATATACTGTTTGCTTTGACAGATATTTAATGTTCACTGAAGAGCTGATTAGTTGTCTATGTATTTTCTTACTGGTGCATGCTAACACATGCTGTTAAACTATAGATTATACCCCAGAAACTCTATGAGACAAGCTGGATACTGACCTGGTTTCTGGCCCTGTGATGTGTCAAAATTGTTTTACACATGGCTTTCAGTTCTCCTGTGCACTTCATCCTTTCCCTGTTTTCACATTTGTGTTGCTGACTGATGAAGAGAGGTGTGGTGCTAAAAAAACATGCATTTCCTAATTTAAAACAAAGCTCTTGCGTCTGTAGCTCTAGAAGGGAGGGAAACAGAAATTGATACTGAGTTTGATTACAGGAAATGATGACTCTTCCTTGTGGGGAAACTGCTAAGAATTCTGATAAGAACAGTCTTCAGCTGGTATAAACAGGAGGGAGGGAGGTGAAGAATGGAGAACTTTGTACCATGCTTGAGGCTATCTGCTTCCCCTGATACATGACATTTGATGCAATCTGGTGCATTCAAACAACAAAATACCTTTTTTTTTGCAACAAGCATTTTTAAGAGATGAAGTTGAAGTCATTTTGGCAGGGCTGGTTTGGCAGCCAGAAAGGATGTGACCTCCTTCAGGGACAGGCAGCTGTGCCAACACCAGCTTTATCTTGGTGGGAGACTTTCAAAAGGTCCTTCCTGAAAACCCCTGGCCTATTCCCCCACCAAAGTTGAATAGGAAATTATCCATCAGCTAAAGCGTGACTTGCTTCAGGCGAGGAAAATGAGGCTTTTGGCAAAAAGAAGGTATAGACACCTGTGATTTGCTTACATTTTCAATCTGAACTGGAGGAAGATTTGTGTATTTCAGCTAATAACCCAGAAAATCCAAGCAAGTAAGCAGCTGCTATCCAGCCAAAAATTTGTTGCTGTCTTGGAGTACATTTTAGCCATTGGGAACCATTTAAATGAAAAGGCTGGAAAAGAGAAGACAAAAGGATTTCGATTGTCATCTTTGACCAAAGTGAGTAAATATTTTTCTTGTAATTAAAAGCTTCACATTCTATGGTATGTTAGCCATTAATATTAACTCAGTTTTTCCCTCAATATGGAGAAAGGCTATAATTTTTAATGAGTAGCTAACATTTTAACATCTTCTTTTGGTTGCACCAGAAACAAAATCCTGCATAACAACATATTATTTAACGTCTATTAAAACAAGATGCATTTCTCCATTTTAGACAGCAGCACTGGCTAGATGAGGGCACCGAGGTGCTGAGTACACTCTGTTTCTAATGAGGTAGAACATCAAAATGCTGACAGTCCTGATATTAAGATCCCCTGGCTAGAACAGGCATCTGAGCTGCAGGCCCCTGGTTAGAAACAAGTTTAGATAAAGCATAATTTGCAGTTTTGTGCAGAGCACTGTTATATGGACCCTTTTCATTTCACTGTAGTCAGAGATTGTAACTACAGCATTTCTTCTGTGGTGGTTGCATTTTTATGGCACTGGAGTAATTTCTTAGTGCTTCATTTTACACCAGTGCAAGACCTTTTGCCACCAGAAATTTGAAGGATTTGCCATTTGAAGGTAAAGTTTCAAAAGTAGAATGTAAATAAATTAATAAATTGACAGGGAGTGAAATTTGCCTGCAACAGTTTTAACCCTCCATCACTGCTCTGCTGGATGATTGAACAGGGGACAAAGGTGGCAGTTTCGATCTTTATCCTGCCAGACATCTGCAGCACAATAAACATCATTTGTCTCTTAGCTTTCTAATTGTCTCATCACTGACCTACCACTTGCATGACATTAGGCTGAGTTTTCCACTGGTTTTAAGGAAACTGCTTTCCCCTCTTCATCAAAATTTGTCATCAGAAAATGCTGTTGCTGAGCACTGGGTTTTTTCCCCTCCTCCATCCAGCAGAACAAAGCATTATATTCTTATCCTAAAAAGTAAGAAATACAAATTCATGAAGCTGCCTTGTACCTTTAATGCTGTTGCAAGATTATGCCTTATCTGTATAGGAGAGAGAAGGATTTTTGTTTTGTTTTTGTAAGGTATCTTTCCCATCTGGAGACTTTAATATATGAGTGAGTGATTTATAACTCTAGTGACAATTCTGAGACACAACTTGCATTCTTTTTTTTCTTTATATATATATATATATATATATATAATGGCTATAATACCACATCTATCATAATGAAAAATGCCTAAGAAATCATTTTCTGCCACAAAGCATCTTCCCAGATTCAATTAAGAAACTTTGCTATCTTTGTGAGCACAGCACACTGCTTTTAACTGGAAAGGAGTAATGGCTGTGTTTGGCGGTTCAAAATCAGTTGTAATCAGTTAGGATACCTCAAGTTAAAAAAGACCCATGTGAATAAGAATACACAAAAGAACAAGGAAGGTCAACAGATATGGGAGTGTAAAGCTGATCTTACTCAAGAATGTGTGAAATGGCAGATTGAAAAGAGGATTAATTTCATTGTTTTCTATTCTTGTCAGCTTTACCTGGGAGCTATCAACATCCTGCTGTTTCTTTTTCTTTCTTTCTTTCTTTTTCATTTTTTAAGTGTAACAGCTCAGTCTGTCAATTATTGCTCCGTTCCCTTTGCAGTTACCTCTGTTGCGGGGTAAAGAGAAGACATTCACCTTGCTTCACGCCCTTGTGGAACAGATCTTCTTACATGAGCCTGATCTTGCCAAATTTTCTGAGGAGTTGACAGAATTTGAAGCTGTTCCCGATGGTAAGAGGAGGGAGGGGGAAAAAATAATCAACAAATGAAAAATGAAGTCCTTCAACTTCTGTGGAGACTTCCATCCTCACACTGTGAATGGTGCTTATTAGCATGTTTTTTCCCTCTCTCTTCCTTTCCAGCTTCCATGAAGGGCCTCAGCGCTGAAGTTGATGGTATGTAAATGTGGTTTCTAAATTCAGAGAAAGATTTTCATATGGTGTGCAGTCATTTGGAACAGGTTTTCATTGCACTTCTGCAGCTTGTAAAGAGAGGTAAAGGTTCAAAACACTGAGGTAAACTGTTGCTATGGTGATACTGAACCTGCCGTGCTACCGTGAAGAACTTAGGAAAATAAAAAAGAAATATTAAAGTTTGTCCAGGTGGTTTAGAAATATAAAAAAAGAGACTGCCCATGGTAAATAGAGTTTGTCATATACTGCATATGTTAAGTGATACAAGTGCTCCATCAAAGTTACGGCTGCAGCAGAGTCTCTGGGAGCAGGCGATGAGGCAGGAGAAACTTTCCCACAGTTCAGTCCTGAAGTTCAAGAGCTTCTTTGAACAAAACTGGTCATCTTCTCTAGAAAGGAGTCCAACAGCAATCAACAGGAGGGAATAGAATAAGGTTATTCAAATATAAGACAGATTTTGGAAGACATTTACAAGTTATCATTGAACAGTGTCATAATGTGGCCAGTGAATTCAATGGATTTTAGAATGAAGCTTTTGATAGAGGAGGTGTATGAGTGGATGAAAGTGACTTGTATTATGTTGAAAGTTTGTAAAAATTCTATCTTCTGAAAATGTGATGTGGTGTTGACTCTAACTACACACCAATAGATACTGTTTTAGCCTTTGATAGCACATCTGAATGATAGTCACTCTCAGCTCTTGGCTTGAAAAACTCTCATACCTATTCTGCTGGGCTCCTGGAGTCAGCCAGGCGTGTAGCCTGGTTGTTTATATTGTTTCATGAAACTCCAATCAACTTTTTAGGAGATACAATGAAGTAAAAATAACACTGTTTGCCTTTGGTAACTTGCGTTCTTTGGGGACAATGTTGATAGCAATTCAAAATTACTTACTATTTTAAAGGCAGTTTTGGAAAATCATAGGTAAAGCAGTACAATGGACATTATACCAGAAACTGTTGGGTGCTGTCAGAGGAGGTAAATATTGAGTACTGGATGAGGTTGATGTCTTCTTCCTTCCATGGGTTCCTGAGGGGTCCAGCATAGTCACTTGTATCTTCTGAGACCCATTCACCAGAGCAGAGAAGGAAAGAGATGGACCAAATGCCAGTGAATCAGCCTTTCTTACCATGTAGTTCAAAGCACATCCTAGAGCTCATCTTCTGCAAATATTGCACAAGCAGAGGAAGATGCTAGAATGCAGCCTGAGTTCAGGACCAAGTCCCTGGAGCCAACGCTGTACCCTCTTCTCCTGCCATTTCACACAGCAGGAGGTCTCACGGTACAAACAGCATTTCTTACTGTTACACACAGTAGAATTTTTGTTCTTTTATCTTTAAAAGAACCCTGAACTTTTTACACAAAACATAGGTTTGAAGAAGGTTTTTTCATTACTAAGCCCAATGCTTAAATCTAGGAAAGGTCAGATTTATGGCTGCTGCATAACCATATTATCGGCCTCTTCATTATTCAGTAGTTGCTGCGATGTGATCACATACTATATTTTTTCTGCAAGACCCATGCCTCTTTCAGGATTTCTATAACCACACAAAAAGTTATATTCCTAGATGAATGTATTGTAGACCCATAATCGCCTAAATTTTCCATGTGTCCTAAATTAGACATTTGCAACCATTTGGACACAACTGCATGCCTGTGAGATTTCTCATTTTCTTTCTCTTTTGTTAGTTTTAAAGAAAGAATTGGAAGACGTTATTCAGTGCAGGCGGCTTATTAAACCCAAGACAATCAAAGTGACATCCCAGGAGTCACAGTTCTGCAAGGATCTAAAGGTAACATTATCACAGTCTTATTGTGGGCTGGAGGGAAAGGATGAGTAATCTGCTTAGTTTGTGCTGAGATCTGCCCTGACAAGTGTGTCAAGCATTTGAGGGAAAGTGGCCTTTTATTCCCTTCTGATAGTGTCTCATACTGCAGCGTGAGAAGGGCTTTTCAGAGTTTCTGCATCACCTGCTTTTGCTTCACAGTGAAATGGGCTGGAGTGGATGAGGAATGGGTAGCCCAAGTTTACTCATGATACTCACTTTGCAATAATAGTAATTTTAGAGCATATATGAATTTTTAATAATTTCCTCTGCTCTCAGAAAGGAAAATAGCACAGTCATATTTATTCTGTTTATATGTGTACATATATATATATATATATATGTTTGTATGTTTATTCTGTTTATATGTTTCCAACCATTTAGGTTGGAAAAGACCTTTAAGGTCATTGAATTCAACCATTAACCTAGCACTGCCAAGGCCATCACTAAACTGTGTCCCCAGGTGGCACATATACATATCTTTTCAATACCTCCGGGGGTGGGTACTCCACCACTTCCCTGGGCAGCCTGTTCCAGTGTTTGATAACCCTTTTAAGTGAGAAAATATTTCCTAATATCCAGTCTAAACTTTCCCTCATGCAACTTGAGGCCATTTTCTCTCAACCTTACTTGGAAAAAGAGACCACCCGAGAAACACCATGCTAAGGCATGCCTAAATTATGAATACAGGTTGATCTAACGTGATTCTACCCGTGCTAGTGGCAAAAGAAGGTGGGGTAGGAACACAATGGAGAGTTCACTGAGCAAGCTGTAGAAAGCCCAGTTCTGGCCATGGTCAGCAGAACCAAACACAGGGTTTATTAGCCCGGGTAGAGAGAAGTTAATTAACTCTCAGAAGCGCTGTTGCCCTACTTGTGAACAAGCCTACTTCCAGTGAAGGCATTCCTGTCAAAACAAACGAATCTTCAAAAGTGAAGTTTCTAAGTTAAGTTTCCATCTCCTTAAGAACTAGCAACCGGGAGCGTTTTCTTCACTTATGCAAAAAGGCTAGTCTATGCCAAATGTGGGTGGAAATTAGGACCTTATGGTGCTTATCTAGTTCTGCCAGTTTTAATAAATTTAGGTAATGTCATCGGATGATACAGTAGAAACTTCTCTAACATTGATGTTTCTTTTTTTTTGTCTTTGATGTCTCAATACTTGTAAGGAAATGTGTGTGCTTGATATATGCTTATCTTTTGTGAAATGTGAAATTTTTGTGACATGAAAATTTTGACATGAATTATCTTGTTTTCACTGCTATTTAATTCCTGTTTCAATATTATGCTCCTATATGAAATTAAGAAGTTTTATTTTATTACAGGATTTAATTCAGAAATATGAAGGGGATCTATCCCAACTGTCAAAGAGATGTGATGAAATGAAGAAGCTTTACAGCAACGTACTGGTACACCTCATATTAAAATACAATGAAAATAAATCTACATTTCTTTATTTATAAATGAAAAAAAAGGCGAGAAGAAAGAAGTGCCAGAAGTTTCCATACTTCCACATGCTTTGTAGTTACAGTGTCCACAGAAATGGAAAAATAGCTAATCACATCTAACAGTGTTGGCATGCTCTGAATGAAAATCTGGCTTTTCATTTTCTTGAGGTCTTAACAGCCCATTTTTTTCAGAGGGTCTGCGGCCCAAGTATCAAAAAGAAAAGTAGATGTTCAGCAACTTTATAAATTCAATGAATTTAACTGTTGAATGCTTTCAACATGTTACAGAAAACATGTTATGAAAAGCAACGTGTTCTGGTTCCTCCCAGCAGTCAAAGGCCGGGCTAGGCAGAGCCTTAGGTAACATGGTCTAGTGTGAGGCATCCCTGCCTATGGCAGGAGGTTGGAGCTAGGTGGTGTTAAGGTCCTTTCCAACCCAAACCATTCTGTGATTCTATGTCTCTGGCTGGTAGGCAGCTGCAAATCTATTACTTTGGCTGATAGTTTTTTTCTAGTGACAAGCTTACAAGTCCAGGGCATTGATTCAGCTACTGTTATTTGAGTGGGAGGGAGACTGAGATAGAGATGTTAGTAGTAGCTAAAAATGAGCAGAGCAGAAAGGAAGCTCCACAGGCAGAAGAATTCTGATAAAGAAACTCTCTGTTCTTGTTTGTTCCTGTTATATTCACCCACACTTGTACCGGAAAAGCACCTAATTTTCTCAATCACTTTTTCCTCTGAACAGAAGCAACCCATCTAGGTCCAGTACACTGGAAAATGTTTTTTTTTTTTTTGGTGAGAGGGTTACACTAGAAGGAATGATAAAAACTCCACGCTGCATTTTTTAACAACATAGTACGTAGATTCCTTGTTTAGTACAATGTTCTTGGAGCGTGATTGAAATTCAGGAGGTCTCTGCTATGGTAACAGTATTCTCCTGCAGAATAGTCACACCAGGAGGCTTTAAGGAAAGGAACAGGTTTACTGCCATGCAGAAATAATTTCCTGGTCCTGGGATTTGGACCTTTTTTATAAGGGGGAGGGATAAGAACATGAGAAGTTTTATGGTAGGTAAATGTTACACAGAAGATGCAGCCAGGAAAATCTTTGGGGACTTTATCTGAATAGACATTGAAGATGAGCGAGATGTTTGTCAAAGGAAATTTAATTAGTAATGTGTTTTACTAAAAATAATATTGTAAATATAGAATCATAGAATCATAGAATAGTTAGGGTTGGAAAGGACCTTAAGATCATCCAGTTCCATCCCCCCTGCCGTGGGCAGGGACACCTTACGCTAAATCATATCACCCAAGGCCTCGTCCAACCTGGTCTTGAACACTGCCAGGGATGGAGCATTCACAACTTCACTGGGCAACCCATTCCAGTGCCTCACCACCCTAACAGGAAAGAATTTCCTTCTTATATCCAATCTAAACTTCCCCTGTTTAAGTTTTAACCCGTTACCCCTTGTCCTATCACTACAGTCTCTAATGAAGAGTCCCTTCCCAGCATCCCTATAGGCCCCCTTCAGATACTGGAAGGCTGCTATGAGGTCTCCACGCAGCCTTCTCTTCTCCAGGCTGAACAGCCCCAACTTTCTCAGCCTGTCTTCATACAGGAGGTGCCCTGATCATCCTCGTGGCCCTTCTCTGGACTTGTTCCAACAGTTCCATGTCCTTTTTATGTTGAGGACACCGGAACTGCACACAATGCTCCAGGTAAGGTCTCACAAGAGCAGAGTAGAAGGGCAGCATCACCTCCTTTGACCTGCTGGTCATGCTCCTTTTGATGCAGCCCAGGATACGGTTGGCTTTCTGTGCTGCAAGCACGCACTGCTGGCTCATGTTCATTTTCTCATCGACCAACACCCCCAAGTCCTTCTCCACAGGGCTGCTCTGAATCTCTTCTCTGCCCAACCTGTAGCTGTGCCTGGGATTGCTCCGACCCAGGTGTAGGACCTTGCACGTGGCATGGTTAAACTCCATGAGGTTGGCATCAGCCCACCTCACAAGCGTGTTGAGGTCCCTTTGGATGGCATTCCTTCCCTCCAGGGTATCAACCGAACCACACAGCTTGGTGTCATTGGCAAACTTGCTGAGGGCGCACTCAATCCCACTGTCCATGTCAGCGACGAAGATGTTGAACAAGACCGGTCCCAACACCTATCCCTGAGGGACACCACTCGTTACTGGTCTCCAGCTGGACATTGAGCCATTGACCACAACTCTTTGTGTGCGGCCATCCAGCCAGCTCTTTATCCACCGAGTGGTCCATCCATCAAATTGATGTCGCTCCAATTTAGAGACAAGGATGTCATGTGGGACAGTGTCAAACGCTCTACACAAGTCCAGGTAGACGACATCAACTGCTCTACCCCTGTCCATCAGTTCTGTAGCCCCATCATAGAAGGCCACCAAGTTGGTTAGGCAGGATTTCCCCTTGGTGAAGCCATGCTGGCTGTCACCAAGCACCTTGTTGTTTTTCATGTGCCTTAGCATGCCTTCCAGGAGAATCTGCTCCAAGATTTTGCCAGGCACAGAGGTGAGACTGACTGGTCTGTAATTCCCCAGGTCATCCGTTTTCCCCTTCTTGAAAATGGGGGTTATATTTCCCTTTTTCCAGTCATCGGGAACTTCACCTGACTGCCATGATTTCTCAAATATGATGGCCAGCGGCTTCACAACTTCATTCTCCAGCTCCTTCAGGACCCACAGATGGATCTCATCAGGACCCACGGACTTGTGCACATTCAGATTTTTAAGATGGTCTCGAACCAGTTCCTCTCCTACCGTGGGCGCAAGGTCTTCATTCTCAGAGTCCCTGCATCTGCCTTCCCAGACTTGGGTGGTGTGGTCAGAGCCTTTGCCAGTGAAGACCGAGGCAAAGAAGTCATTCAGAACCTCAGCCTTCTCCAAATCCTGTGTAGTCAGTTCTCCTGAGAGCTTCCTGAGGGGGCCTACATTCTCCCTAGTCTCTTTTTTATTTGCTATGTACTTGTAGAATCCCTTCCTGTTATCTTTAACACCTCTAGCTAAGTTTAATTCTAACTGGGCCTTAGCTTTCCTAACCTGGTCCCTAGCTTCCCAGACAACATCCCTGTACTCTTCCCAGGCCTTCCTCCTTGCTTCCACTTATTATAAGCCTCTTTTTTCATTTGAATTTTCCTCAGGAGCTCCTTATCCATCCAAGGAGGTCTCCTGGCCCTCCTGTTGCACTTCCTTCTGGTTGGGATGCACATATGTGCAAGGGTTTCTTTGTGTCTTTTGCAGCCCTTCAGAAATGGCAAAAATGCCTCAGTGTAGCAAGCCAGAGTTGTACGTACCACCTAGGCGAGTAACTCTGTCCCAAGCCTTCGAAAGAAGAATTGGGATAAAGCAAGAAGAAGAGGGTGGAAAAAGTATTGTAAATGAGAGAACAAACGTTTGAGTTACATGAGTGGAAATGGTCGAAAAGTATTCACTAAGTTTAAAAATGGGGAGATTTGTGCTGTAAAAACTTTGAGGGTCACTTCTTGCACAGGGAACGAAAGAATCTAACCCAATTTATGTAAAAGTCATCTTCAGAAGGAGCTGTGCTGTGTGGTCAGTCCTGTTTGCAGACCCATGTCATCCCCAGGGAGAATGTGCCCTCCTGTGTGTGTGTGCTCTGTCATATTCCTCCTGCATAGACATGGTTTCTCTCTAGCTGTGTACACTCAGCCAGAAGGTGTAACACATGTGATGATGTGTGAGGCTCTGCTTTCCTTTCTTGTGCTGGAAACTCATCTGAGACTTATTTGCATCTGAAGAGGATTTTATTTTCCATGTAGCTGGAAGTTGCCTCAAGTTTTAACCTATCTGCTTCTTGCCTTCCGTCCCCCGTTGTTCTCTAAAGTTAGGCATTTGATATATTTCTTGTCTTTGGAATGGATGTTTCTTTTTCCTTCGTAATAATGTTATTCCTAGGCAGAACTTTTTGCATATTTATAAAGCAGCAAAAATGTAAAGCAAATATAAAATAGGATGGGTGATCAAAGATCAGGCTATTCTCTCAAGCAGTAGGAAGGAATAGTCCAGCTTATCTGGGGGAATACCTGACATGGAAATATTGGTGTAGGTAGCCATGGAAATCACGTTGCACATAAACCAAAAACTACCGCAGGCCTACCTATGATTTTGTATTCTGCTTATAAAATCAATAATGACTTTGGCATATGACACTTCTATGGAATGAACAATAAATTGGGGATGACTGCCTGTGGTATAGCTGTGGGCTATCAACTTTTCACAGATGGTTATTAGCCCCAGGAAATGCCTCTCTCATTGTTCTTTACATGATGGTACACTGTGGGTGAGTGGCAAGGCGTGCCAACGATCAAGGGCTTGGAGCACCCAGGAGGTGCAATTAGGAACACAACAGGCAAAACTATTAATCAGGTGTCACTGGTTGATGTTAAAGTTTTTGTGACTGGTTTATATGAGAGTGGTTTCTTTTACTGTGTTGTTTCTGATTTCCAGGCTTAGTTTGCTCCTAAGAACATGTTAGATGATGTCCAGGTGAACACACTCAAGTAATGGCAGATACCTGCCCAGACCTTTTTGTGTGTTTCAGTTGGAACCTGAAATACGTCATCATTGCTGCTCAGCCCTGGGAGAGCTGCATCCCCCAATTACAGAGAAGCTCTCAATTACAGCAGAGATAAGAACCTGTAGCAGCACAGGATGCCTTTTTAAACTTTTTGATGAAACCTTTGGAGCATGTTCACTAGATTTGTTCTGCTCAATTAAGGAAGCTGTTGCAGGCAGAGTTATGTTCTTTACTGCGTTGATCCCATTAACGGGGAATCTCTGAAAATGATGACAAACCTCTTGAATTAAGCCTTAGCAACAGGTGTAATATCAAAAATCCTTTCCTATCCAAGAACTGGAAGGTGTATGTGGAAGTGATTTTAGTTAATGCAGGAATCATCCTCCTAATACTAAACACTGTAGTATGACTGCCTTTCACCTCTTGTTTTATAGCAGGGCAGACAGGATGCCAACATCATTCACATCTCTTAAAAGCTTTCCATCTGTTCCCCTTTTTCAGGTGAAGGAAAGAAGAGAACAGGGAGCTCTGGTTCTTTGATAAATTACTTTTCTCTCCAAAATATTTGCTTCCCTATGAATACTTTTGTTTGTAAAGCAAAATGACAGAAAAAGAAAGGTTTTGGGCTTTAATCTGACATAACCGTGCCCACTGTGGGGCATAAACAATTTCCTTAACATGGGCATTTCCTCTTACAAATGGGTTCATCTAACAGTTTGTAAAGCCAGTTTACTGATTTTTCTCCTTTTCAGCTGGAGATCTATAGTCGAGGCAGAGAGATTGTGTTAGCAGAACTCCAGGTTACTCAGTTATTCAGTGACAACTCCTGGGGCCACTTTTACTTAGGATGTTTTGGGTCTCAGATTGCTGGAGACTTAAGCCAGCTCTAAGTTTTCTAATTATTAATATCAACAATAATGAAAGTATTTAACTTTTCTCTTGCTCTTTTATTTTCTTTAAGATCCTGGACATGGGTTAGATTACTTGAATATGCTAATGTTAGATATTATTCTCTTTCAAATTTACAGGTAAAATTTGGGGAGCCACAAGACCTGGACTCTCAGGAACTGTTTGGATGGATATCTTCATTCATTAGTGAGTTTAGGAAGGCCTGTGCTGAAGTTATGCCATAAGGACAACATAAATCTTATAAAGAGGTGAGGGAAAGAGAAGACCAGGAAACAACATTTAAGCTAACTGGTTTGAAAGCTTCTCTACTAATAAGTAGCCTCTAGTATATAGTCTGTACAGCCATATACCTTGATTTTGGGAGATATTTGATTTATGTGCAAGTGGTATTTGACCTTTAGGATAACAGATCACTTATGAGGCTCTCTACCTTTTGTGGTGTACGTGCTTTTGTATTTTGAGATGCCTGTATTTTTAGAAAGGACACAGTTTGGAGATTTTATAATCTTTCTTTCTAATATTTTCCTTTAATGTATATTGTGTTGAGTTTTAACTATTACTTTCCATGAATAAGCTTCTGTATGATCATCTGTTTTTTTAATTACTTTTTTCTGTAGTTTTCTAACCAACACTCTACGAGTTTTATAATGAAACAGGGAGCTGTTACCCATAGAGGAGAGTATTTAGCAAAAATTCTTGTTTGTTTTTCTGCTATTGAAGCATTGCAGCCTTAGTATGTCATGGAGAAAGTATCTGGCTGGGTGGGTTTTGGTTTATTTTCCCCAAAGTGGTGCAATAAAACAGTGCTTTTTATGGCTGATGTAATGTATTCAGGTAAAATACTATAGAAGGCAATCAGGGTGAGATTTGCCTTGGCAGGAAAAGAAAAATATCAGAGGAGCAAAATAAAAACTTGTCATGATGCATCCAAGTAATGGATACTGGAGGTGTAATTATTCATGCTTTTCAAAAGGGAAAATATATCTGTTGCATTTGTTGGCTTTTACATATTTTTATATAGAATAGTTATCTGGAGCTCCAATATATGAGAAGAAAAGAAAGCCTATAAATGCAGAGACAAAATGGATGTGTTTAACATTGACAGCAGAAAATGGTTCTAAAAGGTCATTGATAAAATTTGGCATTTTCTCTATCAGTTTTGCAAACAGTGTTTTTTTGCGGAAAAAAATGTGCTACCTGATTTATTTTAGGTCTGACTGCCCATGTCTCAAAGTGTTTGTTTGGGCTTTAATAGAAATGTTTGACACTCTCCCTGACTTCAGTGCTAAAACAAGGTAGGGCTGACCCTTCTGAAATGCTTAAATGCAATTTCGTCTAAAAATTACATTACCACAACCCACTCTCACGAAATTTCTCTATACCCTGCATTTAATTTGCTGTTCTAGATGTGATCACTGCTGCACATCTACGTATTTCGATAAAGATCCAGTAAAGGGCCTGGGCACCCAACAGCTAGGGTCTGCAATACGTAGATTTTTAGTGCTGGTCATGTCAGACAGTAAAGGACAGTGACTAGGAATAGACACTCGGACACATCTGATGTACCATGTCTGACAGCACACCCCTATGTGCAAAGGCAGAAAACCATTCCTGCAGCTCGCGTGTCCATCACCAAAGGCAAGGGTTTCAATTCACTTCAACCTCACTAAATCTGCTGAGAGAAGGGAGCAGCTGAACCCCTGCCCTCCATGGGTACTCCTCTTTGGAAGCTAAATCTGCTCTCAAAGGCACCCACACAACTTCTGTTTCAAAGTGAGTGGAGGTCATGAATGCTGTTTTAAAATGATAGTTCGCACTGTTTCAAGGAGTCACTGAAGAAGGGGAATCCTGCCCTGAAAGATTCCAGTCCTTATAATGCTCTTCTTAAAGGTGTGCTCTGGCCAAAAGGTGTTGAGCCAGCAGCATCTCATTTGTGGCCAGTGAGTGAGTACTCCAGGGAAATGTCTTCAGCAGGAGGCATCAGGTGTTGAGCAAGTCAGCTGATGAACAAAGAAATAACTGCTCTTCCAGCTTGGTGAGAATAAAATCTGGCACCAGCTGTGAATGCCAGTGGGCCCCACTGCTTATCTTCTCTGCCTTAAATCCACCCCTTGCCTTAGAGGATGCCTAAAAAAACCTTTGAGGAAGAGGTTCAACAGGCTATGTATTCAGTATGCTTAATATCAACTTCCAGGCACATCCCTACCATGATATAGAAGCTGTCTTGCCTGAGGTAGAGGATGCCTGAACTAGAGCTCTGCGCAGCAGCAGCAAGGTACCCAGTGGGTCTCCTCAGCAGTGTTGCTGCCATCCACAAGCTCTTGCATGGCTGCACTAATTAAGTGCATCATTTTGGCTTCTCAACAGTCTAGTCAGGACAATGCTTCCAGTTAAGAACACGCAGTCCTGTTACTCAGAGGCAAAAGGAATAGAAATAAAATAACAATTAGCAAAATTAGAACCTCTGATACTTATTTTACAGAAAATTATTTATAGAAGCAAATAAAGGGATTTAATTTTACAGAAAACTTATTGGCTATATTTGCCTCAAGTCAGCATGAAAGCAGTGACAACTGGCTGACACTGAAGTCAGTGGCATCTAGTTATGAATCAGGAACTACAATTATATTACTTATTTTTCTTTGAATTGAGGACAATTAAATTCCTATTTAATTTCTTGCACCTCCACACCACAGTGCCCTATACAGTGCTCATATGTGCACTGCAAACAGCACTTGCAGTTTTTGATGTGTCTTGTTACTGCTCTGAAATCTGAACCATCTTCATTTATATGTGAATCATGTAAGATAATCCTGAATACAAGTGCCATTTCCATGGTATCAAGATCCCTGCATCCCTGAACAGCGTTCGTGATGGTCATGATAAGTTTCATGTTTTTCTACCATTAACTTGGCTCAGGAGTCCTGGGAAGTGTCTTTTAATGAAATAGTTTTTTTCCTCTCTTTTTTTTTTTTTTCATGACTCACTTTTTTACTCTACTCTTCTTTCTCTATCATGATATCTAACAGCTCGTACTTGTTTTATAGCTCAGCTGCCATGGCCTCTTCTAATTAAATTATATTCTACACAGTAGTTGATATCTGTATCTTTGTGTGAATATCCTGGAGCATTCATTAAAAAAAATGAATGCCCAAATACCTTCTTGGCAAGAAGTTCAACTCCTCTCAGAGAGCATGAACTTTCCTACGGAGTGAGAGCTTACTGAGGAGATGTGTTCCAGTTTTCTCAAACAAGCTATTTCTTCAGTGCCTGTGAGTTTCAGACCCCTCCTGATTTATATGTAAAAATAAACAAATAGACCTTGTTCCCTACCTCATTCTTTTTTACCAAGTATAATTTTGTATAAGACCGGGTTCTTTCAGTTTCTTAGGGTCAATTCTAGTATTCAGGTTTAGTGATGTAAAGAATAATAGTTACGTCTCAACATTTACTTCGAATTATATAGGCAATCTCTAAATCTCTGTGTGGTAATGCCTTTGGAATCCTTCCTTAGCAGCTGACCGTTTTATCCTGCAATCCTGTGGTCATAAAAGTCAAAGTTCTGGATGAACCTTTTGTTGTGGAAATTAATACAACTGGGATCACTCTGACAAATAGCAACCTGCAAGAACTGTAGTATCTTTAATTCTGGGTTATTCCTTTCCTACAAAGCTGGCATTCAGCATATTATGAAAAATGAAAACTTAATTATGACGTTAAGTAGTTCTGTTCAGTAAGATCAGTCTCAGTATTTAGCTGTGTGAAGTGAGGCTGTGGGTCAAATGCTGCACTGATTTTTAGTTTCTTGACAACTCAGCTGTGTAAGAACTGCTTGCCTCAGAAGGAGATAGAAATTCCTCTTGATAATCTGTTTCCTTAAAATGCACACTGCTTGGTAGTATGTGCAGTACTTCAGCAAGAACCGGAAAGAGAACTTCTGAGTCTTGTAATAGATGTTAGTTGTCCTCAGCAAAAACATGACTGAGAGAAGCCCTGCACTCTGGGACTGGAGCTCTTGACAGAAATCCCTGACTTCATCTGCCTGTCCAGTGTTCGAGTGTATTCAAAGCACCCCGAGAAAGGCTGTAAGAAATGGAGCTCATATAGGCACAGGTCACTGGATCGACCTGAGCTCCCAGAGGGCCAGTGCTACATGTGTACCAGCACTCACAAGGGGTTTTCAGGAATTCACAGTTGAAATACAAGTGTCTTCCCCAGGAGGCAGAAATTTCCCAGAGTTTCCTCAAACCAAAAATGTAAAGAGCTGGTGTTATCCAACACTGAACTCAGCGACAGGAAAAATAACTTCCCTAGATGGACAATTACATCTTAGGACAGTGGCTGAACTTTGCTTCTCAGTTTGCCTTTATTTTCCCTTTCCTCTTTGACCTGCCAGGCACCTGCCAGCTTGTACAAATGCACAGTAAAGCAAAAGCAGAAGTTGTGGTCACTTGGAAGGTGCATAAAAGATTTGAAGTCACTTCTGTGGACTGCTTGTCTTCTAGTTTGAATGAATGCTTTTCAAATACAAACACTGCTTTTAGGAGAAGAAAAAAGTGGTGTTACACAAAGCCAGTACAAACATGGGGTCTTTAAAAGTGAACCTGTTGGGCACTTGCTGCACAACAACTAAAGCCTGAAAGTATTCTTAGAAACTACTCACTCCTGTGCTTAAGAAGCTGCTGCTAATGACGACTCAGAAGCACCACAAAGAGAATTCAAGCTGCTGGCCTTAAAGAAGAATATATTAAACAATTCGGGCTGAGGGGCTGCTTTGCCCAACCCTGACTCAAACAGGGGCTCAGAAAGCTTGTGGTGAGATCCTGTCCTGTGTTGCTCACAGAAGCTTTGCTGTGGACCTTCACAACCCCAAGACTCCGTTCCCTGGTTTAAAAGACATTTTCAGACTGCCCAAATGCTCAGATATTAAGTTTTCTCACCAAACTAAATGCGAATGTTAATTTTGTTCACTGTTGCAGCTCCTACCCAAAAGCAGAACCATCGACTTTATTCCCAGAGTAACAAAGAAGGGGAGAGCCTTTTAATGAAAACTAAGTCAGACTCATGCAGGTATGAACACTTTGTGCAAGTGAGATTTTATTTAGCATTAGCTTGAGTATTTCACGTCACAGCATATTACTGCAGCTGACATGATACATCTAAGAAGCAGACTGCGCTTTCCTGGGTGTACATTGAACTGATTGCAGGATTTGCTAAATGTGCTTAAGCCTTACACTTGCTGCCTGTTTACCCAGGGATGAATTTTAGTCAAGGACAGTCAGCATTAATTAAGCAACAGAAAACTACAAAGTAAGTAAATATTGCTTTAAGCTCATTTTACAAATAAGATATTTGAAACAAAAAGGTTTCAGATGCAGAATTTAAGTCTCTGGAGGCAATTTAAAAATGCTGTGATGTGTTTTGAAACATAAGTGATACAAGGGTAAATAACTGCTGGTCTATGCTTTGGTGGCATGATTTGCTTATGAGCATTGAACCAAAAAAAGAAAATAACCCCAAAGGTTATTGTCCACAAAGATCAAGTACTAATGAGCATATTTATACCAAAATTCTTCTGGTAGCTCCTAGGAACTTTCCTGAGCAAGCTGTACAGGACTTGGCCTGAAATGCTGTTATTATAAATAGAAATTTGCTTGACTGTTTCAAACAGCACTGTTCTCAGCCTGTAAATAAATAACAGAGAACATCCCAAGTTGCTATCATTAATGCTTAAATTGACGTTTGTTATTTGGAATCCTGCCATTTAAAACAATCTGATGTCTCACTTTGTTGTCAGGAATTAAGCTGATTAGGAAAATTAAAAACAACAAAAATCCTTTTGATTCTAGATTTACTGAACTTGCCCTGCAAAAGGACAATCTGTGTGTGATGACTGCTCTCTGAGATGAAGTTCAGCTCTAGCTGGATGTT